CATACATGATCTATGCACAGAAATATTTTTTTAAGGGAAAAAAAGATAACTATCATAGACCTAAATGTAAAACCTAAAACTATAAAACTTCTAGCAAGAAACATAGGAGAAAATCTTTGTGAGCTCGAGTTAGGCAAAGATGTCTGAGATACAACACCACCAAAAGCATGATCCATAAATGGACAAATTGATAAATCGGACTCCAGAAAATTTAAAATCTTCTCCTCTTCAAAAAATACTGTTTGGAGAATGAAAAGACCAGCCCCACATTGGGAGACAGGATTTGCAAAGCATGATCTGATATAGAGCTTATATCCAGAGTATGTTAAGAACTCTCAAACTCGATAAGAAAACAAATGAGCCAGCCCTGATGGCCTGGTGGTTAAAATTCGGTGCTCTCACTGCTTCCGCAGCCCAGGTTCGGTTCCCAGGTGCGGAACCACGCCACCCGTCTGTTGGTAGCCATGCTGTGGCGGCGGCTCACATAGAGGAACTAGAAAGACTTACAACTAGAATATACAACCATGCACTGGGCTTTGGGGAGGAAAAAAAAAAGAGGAAGATTGGCAATGGGTGTTAGCTCAGGGCGAATCTTTCCCTGCAAAAAAAAAGAAAGAGAGAAAACAAATGATCCAATAGGAGAAATGGGCAAAAGACTTGAACAGATGCCTCACCAAATATATAAGATGGCAATGAGCACATGATGCTCACCAGTGTTAGTCGTTAGGGGAACGCAAATTAGAATTATAAGATGCTTCTACACAGCTATTAGAATGGCTACAGTTAAAAAGACTGACCACACCAAGTGTTGGTGTGGGTCTGGAGGAACCGGAACTGTTGTACCCTGCTGGTGGAAATGTAAATGGCACAACCACTTTGGAAAACAGTTTGGCAGTTTCTAAAAAACGAAACCTCTACCAACCATATGATTCAGATATTCCACTCTTAGGTATTTACCCAAGAGGAAAGAAAGCACATGTTCATACGATGAATTGTACAGGAATGTTCATAACAGCTTTATTTGTAAAATTCAGAATGGAAACAACCCAAATGTCCACCAACAGATGAATGGATAAACAAATTGTGGTACATCCATACAATGGGATACTACTCACCAATAAAAAAAGAATGGGCTAATGATACACCCAACAACACGGATGAATCTCAAAATAATTGTTCTGAGCGAAAGAAGCCAGACCCCTCCCTTCTCAAAAAAAGGGCATATACTATGTGATTCCATTAATAGAAAACTCTAGAAAGTGCAAACTAATCTATAGTGACAGAAAAGAGACGGGTGACTGCCTGGGGGAGGGGCTGCAGGAAGGAAGTGGGGGGAGGAGTGCCAAACAGGCACCAGGAAACGTTTGGGGTGATTGATATGTGCACTATCTTGATTATGGAAAACATATCAAACTATATACCTTAAATATGTGCAGTTTTATTATATGTCATTTGTACTTCAACAAAGCTAACCCCAAAATTTCCTACCTCACACCATATGAAAACTTAATTCTAGTTGGATTACAGACCTAAATGTGAAAAGCAAAGTTTGAATACTTTTGAAAATTGGGAGAGGGCCTGCCCCGGTGGCCTAGTGATTAAGTTCGGTGCGCTCCGCTTCGGCGACCCAGGTTCGGTTCCTGGGTGCAGAACCACACCACCTGTCAGTTGCCATGCTGTGACAGTGGCTCACATACAAAAAGAAGAAGACTGGCAGTGGATGTTAGCTCAGGGTGAATCTTCCTCAGCAAAAAAAAAAAAAAAAAAAAAAATGAGGGAAGAGTGTTTTTTATTTTTATTTTTTTATTTTTTATTTTTTTATTTTTTATTTTTTTTAAAGATTTTATTTATTCAGCTTTTTCCCCCCAAAGCCCCAGTAGATAGTTGTATGTCATAGGTTCACATCCTTCTAGTTGCTGTACGCGGGACTCGGCCTCGCGTTGGACGGAGAAGTGGTGCCTCCGGGCGCTCCCGGGATCCGAACCCGGGCCGCCAGCATCAGAGCGCGCGCACTTAACCGCTAAGCCACAGAGCCGACCCGGAAGAGTGCTTTTTAATCTGGGGAAGAATTTCCTGAACGAGAGGGTCCTAAATTTTCTTCGTTCCTGGAACCCGTAATTTTTTAGCCCGCAAAGAAACCTCTAACAGTCAGAGGTGTGCTGAGAAACCAGCAATTGTGGCTGGGGGAGGGAGTGCCCTGATTTGTAGCATTTGCTGATTTTCATAACATAAATACTGTCATCTTGGCTCTGAACATCCCCTAAGGTGACCCCCAACGAGTCAGGTCCTTGTATAATGACCTCCCCTTCTGTGTGGGGGGAACCTGTGACTTGCCAACAGAATACAGCACAGGTGATGGGGTGTCACCCCTCTGATTAGGTTATGCTGTATAAGACTGCACCTTAGTAGACTGAAGAGAGATGCTCTCCTGCTGGCCTTGAAGGAGCAGCCGCCACGCAGTGGAAAGGACCACATGGCAGGGAATTTCCAGGGGCTCCTGGGAGCTGAGGGCCTCAGTCCTACAGCTGCAGGGAACCAAATTCTGCCGACAACCAGTGATGAGTCCCAGCCGAGACCACAGCCCTGGCTGACACCTTGACTGCACCTTTGTGAGACCCTGAGCAGAGGATCCAGCTGAGCTGTGCCGGACTCCTGACCCATGGAAACTTCCAGATAGTAAATGGGTGTTGTTTTAAGCCACTAAGTTTGTGATAATTAGTTATGCAGAAATAGAAAACTAATACGATGGTCAATTTCAAGCTACCAACAATTTACTTCATGTAATCCTGAAAATGTAACAATCAGCTCTCAAGAGCTGGCCTAGCGGGCTCCAGTGTCGCACAGCTAACAGCTCTGTGGTTTGGACCCAGCAACCCAATAAGTGTTTGCGTCCCAACAACCTAGAAACCATTTGAAAAAATAATATACATTAATTGAAAAAAAATTTGTATTTCATTCTTAAAAAACACACTTCCTTACCCGTGGGGTGTTTGTACCTATTGGGCCCTGCATGACTTTTCAGATCTTGGAGTCAGATTGGCGTTGCCACTCTAATTCCATGCTGATTTCTGTGCAGTATTTGCGTTTTTTTTTTTTTTTTTTGTGAGGAAGATCAGCCCTGAGCTAACATCTGTTGCCAATCCCCCTCTTTTTGCTGAGGAAGACTGGCACTGAGCTAACATCCGTGCCCATCTTCCTCTACTTTATATGGGACGCTGCCACAGCATGGCTTGATAAGCGGTGCGTTGGTCTGCACCCGGGATCTGAACCTGCGAAACCCAGGCCGCTGAAGTGGAGCACGTGAACTTAACTGCTACACCACCAGGCCGGCCCCAGTATTTGCTTTTTGTTTTTTAACTGAAAATTTTACTGGGATAATTGTAGATTTGCATGCAGCTGGAAGAAATAATACAGAGAAATTCCTTGTACACTTTGCCCAGTTTCCCCCAATGGTAACCTTTTTGGGTATTTGATTTTTATCACAGCAACTGCTAAAAACTCGGTTTTACAAAGATATGACATCATGGAAAGGAATATAGCACTGTCTCACGTTGAACCCGTGAACTACCTCGAGCTCATAGGTCATGCAGCGTCTGACCAAAGTTGATGTGTCCCCGTCAAACTTTAAAACATCCCCCGGGGCCGGCCCAGTGGCATAGTGGTTGAGTTTGGTTTGCTCCACTTCGGTGGCCCAGGTTCGCAGGTTCGGATCCTGGGTGCAGACCTACACCACTCATCAAGCCATGCTGCAGTGGCGACCCAAATACAAAATAGAGGAAGATGGGCACAAATATTAGATCAAGGACAATCTTCCTCAGCACACACACACAAAAAATTTAAAACATCCCTACAGTGTCCCCTTTGAGTTTGCTGCAATGCTCTGGGGTGCCTTGGTGCATATATTAGTTTCCTAGGGCTGCCATCGCAAACTGGGTGGCTTATATGGCAGAAATTGATTGTCTCACAGTTCTGGAGGCCAGAAGTCCAAAATCAAGGTGTCAGCAGGGTCGATTCCTTCTGAGGCTGTGAGGGAGAATGTGTTCCAGGCCTCTCTCCTAGCTCCCGGTGGTTTGCTGGCAATCTTTGGTGTTCCTTGTCATGTAGAAGCATCACCCCAGTCTCTGCCTTCAGCTTCACATGGCGTGCTCCTGTGTGTGTGTCTGCGTGTGCAAACTTCCCCTTTTTACAAAGACACCAGTCAGACTGGATTAGGGCCCACCCTAATAACCTCGTCTTAACGTGATTACCTCTGTAAAGATCCTGTCTCCAAATAAGGTCACATTCTGAAGTCCTGGGGGTTAGTACCTCAACATATGAATTTTCAGGGGACACAGTTCAACCCATAACAGCGCAGAAATTGGGAAATGTGTTATTAAGCAATTCATTTAGTCTGCACATTTTGTTGAGCACCTACCCATGTCAGGCACAAAAAAGACAAAAATGCGCCCTCAGGGAGCTTCCACTTTATTTGAGGAGACAGCACACCCCAAGTAAGTAAAGATGAATCTAGAAATGGGAAGGACAGGTTGGAAGCTGGTTTCAGGTATAGTCAGATCCACGGACTCCAGTGGCATCAGGGCTCATTCTCATCACCTCTCTGTCTCTTGTCTCCACTTTGTCTGTTGGCCTCCTTCTCCCAGGGTCCTCCGTGTGGTGGGGACTACGACAGCGGAAGTCCTGGAGTCCCATCCATCCAGCACATGCGTTTCCCCCAAATACCAGCAAAGGATTTGGGCTGGCTGTGCTTGGGTCACATGTACATCTCTAGGTGAACTGTCCAGACCTGGGTCATGTGGCTGTCGGGGTGGCTTGTTGTGGCTGGAAGCCAGAACCACATGGAAGGTTGGGTACTGTCAGCGGAGAGTAGGACAGATGGGGAGCCACAAGGACAGCAGGGGTCAGCCACACTCAGTCACTCACCTGCCCACTCCTCTCCTCCCTCGCTCCCTCACTCTCCCCCACATTCAGCCAACAAACAGGTACCATCCTCTTTCCTCCAGATCCAGGAGTGGGAGACCCGGATCTTTGCCCGTGGTAAGGATGGCAGAACCTCAGGATTCATCCTGGATCAGAAGGTCAAGATCCGGCGAAGGATCAAGATCCTAGAAGACCAGCTGGACAGGGTGAGGGTCCGCCTCTTGGCTCTCTCCCAGCCTGAACTCTGGGGATTGGGAGAAGAACTGAGCGTGGGGTCAATTTCCAGAAATGGTGGACCAAATTCCTGGATGTGGGCAGGCCTGAAACACTGGGCTCCCTGAGGGGGGTCAGGAGATAAGATCCTGGAGGGATGGAGGGTCCCCAAGGAAAGGGGACTGATGCCTGGGCCCTTGAGGGGGGACTGGGCAATGCTCTCGGGGCCCCCCAAGAGGGAACTGGCCCCGTCTCTGACAAGTGCCCCCACTTCAGCTGAGTGTGGAGGAGGGAGGCGGGCCAGGCCTCAGACAGACTCTTGGCATCCTCTCCCCACCCTCCAGGTCACCTGTCGCTTTGACACGCAGCTGGTGCGGAACGCGGCCCTGCGGGAGGAGCTGGATCTCCTGCGGATCGAGAGGAACCGCTATCTGAATGTGGACTGCAAGCTGCAGAAGGTCAGCGGCCCTGAAACCCAGGACCCCTTGGCCCAGCCGGGGTGGAGGAGAGAGCGATTCCACCGAGGTCCTCCCCACAACCGCGCACCCTGCCTTCTCCCACACTCGGGCCTCAAGTACGGAACTGACCTGAGCCATGGGTTTACTTTGTTAGGATGCTTCTAACAAAGAAAGCAGCCTCATTTAGATTTGCAGAAAGCAGAGATGTCATTTTGAATATTATCGCCCAGGGCAATCAATGAGCAAGCAAGGCCATGTACATTCTAAGGGTTTCTTAATAATCTTTGCAGCCCTTTGAAGAACCCTCCCTTCCTCCCTCCACCTTCCCCTCCCCTCTCTCTAGCTCTTTCTCTCTTTTTTAACTTTTACTTTTTTTTTGTTTGTGAGGAAGATCAGCCCTGAGCTAACATCCATGCTAATCCTCCTCTTTTTGCTGAGGAAGACCGGCTCTGAGCTAACATCCATTGGCAATCCTCTTCCTTTTTTCCCCCCAAAGCCCCGGTAGATAGCTGCATGTCATAGTTGCACATCCTTCTAGCTGCTGTATGTGGGACGTGGCCTCAACATGGCCAGAGAAGTGGTGAGTCAGTGCGCACCTGGGATATGAACCCGGGCCGCTGGTAGCGGAGTGCGCGCATTTAACCGCTAAGCCACGGGGCCGGCCCTTAACTTTTACTTTGAAGTAATTTCAAATTTGCAGAAAAGGAGCAAGAATAGTACAAAGAACTATATATCCTTCACCAATTGATAATGTGTCACATTTACTCTGTGTGTGTAATTATTATTTTTACAGAACATAATTTATTATTACAGTTGCTGAACTATTCGAGAGTACACTGCAGACATTATGCCCCTAAGAACTTCAGTATGGGGCCAGCCCCAGTGGCCCAGTAGTTAAGTTCAGCATAGTCTGCTTTGGCGGCCCAGGTTCGGTTCCTGGGCGCAAACCTACACCACTCGTCTGTCGGTGGCCATGCTGTGGCGGGGGCTCACATACAAAAAGAGGAAGATTGGCAGCAGATGTTAGCTTAGGGTAAATCTTCCTCAGCAAAAAAAAAAAAAAAAAAAAAAAAAGAACTTCAGTATGTATTTCCTGAGAACAAGACCATTTTCTTACATAAACACAGGGCAGTTATCCACGTCAGTAACTGTCACATGGTTCCAGTTCTCAACAGTTCATATTTAAAGTTCACCGATTGTCTCAGTGACGTCCTTTACAGCTAATTTGATTTTCCTGCTCCAGGTGGGGGTCCCATGGTGCCTTTGGTTGTTCTGGCTCCCATCGTCTGGAACAGTGCCCTTCGTGACTGTGACATTTTGGAAGCCCAGGCCAGTCGTGTTGTACGAGGCCCCTCAGTGTGGGTTTATCTGATCTTTCTTCACGATTAGATTCAGGCTGTGCATTTTTGGCAGAAAATCACAGAGATTATATCGGGAGGTACGTTCTATCAGGAGGTGCATGAGTTATGTCCCATAACTCGTGACGTTGCCTTGGATCACTTGGTTAGCCAGGTTCCTTCAATCTAGAGTTTTCCTCTTTGTAAGGAGTAAGTAGGCTGGGGAGACTCTTTGGGACTATGTAAATATTCTGTTCCCTGGCATACTTTCACTCAATTGTTTTAGCCGGAATAATTAATGATTCTTGCCTGAATAACTATTACTGTAATGGCTGCCAAACGGTGCTTTTTATAACTCTCTCATTTCTTCTACATTTATAAGGTGGCATTTTACATAAGGAAGGGCTTCTCGTTCTCCTCTGTATATTTCTATGTTATCAGTAAGCATTCGTGTATACTTACTTTATTCTATGGGTTATAATCCATAGTGGTCATTATTCATTACGATGCTCAAGTTGTCCCAGATTTGGCTTGTGGGAGCCCCTTCAGGCTGGCTTCCATGTCCTGTGGACATGCCCATCGTTTTTTTGAGCACTTCCTTACCTTCTGGTGCAGGAACATAATCCAGGTTATCTTGTAGTTGTTCTGTTTAAACTCTCCAGTCAGCCATTTCTCCGCAGAGTCCTGGTTCTCTCTAGTGGGGAGTAGATCCTGAGAAACCAAGATACAGGCCCTCAGAGTCCATTGCTACTGGGGTGTCATTGCTTTGAGGCCCCTTCTCTGGAGAGAGCTAGGAAACACACACATATATTTCAAAATCATGAGTTCATGTCGATACCTCTCATTCCAATCCAGCATCACTGGGCTATTCCTCAACATTCCCCATTTCATTTTTCTTTTCTTTTTTTTTTTTTTTGCTGAAGAAGATTAGCCCCGAGCTAACATCTGTTGCCAGTCCTTCTTGTTTTTTGCTTGAGGAAGATTAGGCCTGAGCTAACATCTGTACCAGCCTTCCCCTACTTTATATGTGGGTCACCGCCACAGTGTGGCTGATGAGTGGTGTAGGTCGGTGCCTCGGATCCGAACCTGTGAACCGAGGCTGCCAAAGTGGAGTGCGCCGAACTTAACCACTGTGCCACTGGGTTGGGCCCTCCCCTGCCCCACTTCATCTTTTTATCTCTCTTCTCCCACAGTGGGAACCCTGGCTCCCAACAGCATCCATGTGCTTACTCATTTGCTTGGTCCCACAAAACACACGAAAGAGTTTCAGAATTGCTACAGCTGTGCCACCCCCGCCCCAACCCAAGTCACACAGTTCAAGATTTGTTCGCAGTCTGTTGTGTCGTCTGAGGGCATGGGTATCGATCTACAGATCTTCAAATTATTGTATTCAGAAGTCACTTGGATTAGTTCCTATTTTTTGTTTTCCATGTGGTTCTGTTCTTCATGTGAAGTACAGTCAGGTGCATTTGCTTCTGTCTATATTTGGTTTAGTTCTCTCCCCTATCCTCATTGATTTAATTTTCTTTACGAATATGTAAACCATTAATGGTCCCCAAAACAAAACTGTTCCAAAAGGTGTCCTGGAGAAACATCATTTCCTCCCCGTCTCTTCCACCTCATTTCCATCCAGCCCCTGTAGGTTCTGGTTAACCATCCTGAGTTTCTTTTTGCAAAAGTAAATGTGTGTGTGTGTGTGTGCGTGCGCACGCACACGCGTGCGCATGTGTGTTTATACACACATATGTATATGTGTATTACATTAATATATACACATTATATATGTGTATATGTATATATGTGTATATATATGCATGAGTGTATATGTAGTATATGTATATGCATGTGTGTATATGTCTATGCATGTGTGTACATGTATATATGTATACATATACGTATGTGTATATGTATATGTGTGCATGTGTATATCTATATGTATGTATATATGTATATGTATGTGTGTATATACATTAATACATATGTACACATTATATATATGTAAAAAAATATATAATTTCCTCCCTTCTTTCTCTTGAAAGAAGTCTTTTTACCCATAACACTGCAAAGACATTTCCGTGGAACTAGAAAACAGGTTAGTGTGGTCACAGATGAAATTCACACAAATTTCTGGCCCCAACCAAAAAGTCAGCTCGGTGCTCTCAGGAGCTTCCTGGGCTGAGCGTTTCTCCGCATCCAGCTCCTCGGTTTGGTTTCCCCTTCACTTCGTACCTCTTTACAATCCCTTTCCCGGCTGGGCTGCCGCTCGGTAGGAAGGTCGACACTGGAAGGCACAGGAGCGCCCTTCTCACTGGGGCAGGCGGGGCCCACAGGAAAGCCCTACAGAGGAGGCTCAGGAAGTGTTGTTCCTGGGCAGGAGATCCAGCAGCTCCGACACACGGTCAGCGCGCTCATAGTCTCCTCCACCTCGGCCTACGCCGTCAGGTAGGGCCCGCGGAGGGGTCCTGGGGGGCCCGGAGGGCGCAGTACGGCACCCACCTTTTCTTAATGCAGTGGCGGGGAGGGGGCGGTCCGGACTCAAGAAACGGACCGTCAGAACCTACGTTTTTTCATAAGGTGCCCCTTTCTCTGCCTCCTCCACCGACTTCCCAGCTCCCTGGGCGAGGTGTGACCCCGCCCATCCCTGTGACCCCTGGCTGACCCCCACCCAACCTCCAATCTCCCTGCCCCGGCTGACCTCCCCCAGGGAGGAGGCGAAGGCCAAGATGGGCATGCTGCGCGAGCGCGCGGAGAAGGAGGTGGCGCAGAACGAGACGGAGGTGCAGACCCTGCAGCGGCAGATCGCGCACCTGGAGCAGCTGCACCGCTTCCTCAAGCTCAAGAACGACGACCGGCAGCCGGACCCCGCCGTCGTGGAGAGGCGCGAGAAGCGGGGTGAGGCCCGGCCTCCACCGGCGCCCGCGGCCGCTCCGGGTCTCCCCGCACCGCCCGGCACCGGCCCGCAGGGGGCGGCACAGGGGTCTGCGCGGCCGAGCCCAGCCCGCCCCCCAGGGTCCGCGTGCGCCCCGGGCTTGCTCATCCCACCCAGGCCCCTCGGCGCGGGTGGCCGCCCTGGACGCCGGCCTCACTGCTCCCTCTCCGCGCAGCCCGGGAGGTGGCCGAAGGCCTCCGCAAGACCTCCCAGGAGAAGCTGGTGCTGCGCTACGAGGACGCCCTGAATAAACTGTCCCAGCTGACCGGGGAGAGCGACCCGGACCTGCTGGTGGACAAGTACCTGGAGAGTGAGCACGGGGGGCGGCGGGAGGAGCCCAGGCGCGGGCCCCGCCTCGGCCCTGGGGAGCCCGCACCGGCGCGGCAGGAACCTGGGCTCCGGCTGCGCCCTCCTCACCCTCACTGCCTCCAGTCCTGCCCCCGCCCCCTGTCCCCTCCCCTGTCCCCGTCCCCGCGTGCTCCGTCCCCCTCCCCAGTCTCTCCCGCACCCCTGCCTCGGGACTGCCGCCCCCTCCTTCTGTGTTCGCTCTGCATCCCTCCGTCCTCTCCGAGGGTCTGTGTCTCTGTCTGTGTGTTTCTGTCGGATTTCCCGGGGCGTGTCTGGCTCCCCGCCTCCCGCGTCCCCCCCATTGCACCCCCATTCCCGGGCCTGCGGGTCTCTCCCCAAACTTCCCCTCAACCTCTGTGTGTCTCTCTCTCCGCGCGCCTGTGGCTGTCTGGCTCCCCGGGTCCTCGGTTCTCTCTTCATCCCCCTCCACCGTTTTCTCTCCCTCTCTTCTGTTTCTGCCTCTCGGTATTTCTGGGTCTCTTCGTGGCTTTCTCTCTGTCGCGATCTCTTTCCCTCACTCTGACCTGCTCTGTATTTCTCTGTGTCCCCTTTCTCTCCGGCTCTGTCTCTCCTTGTCTCTGTGTTGTCTTTCTCAACATCTCTTTCTCTGTTCTTCTGTGCGTCCCTCTGTCTCTGTTTTTCTGCCCGGACTCCGCCTTTCCCGACTCTGCCCCAGTGGAGGAGCGCAACTTCGCGGAGTTCAACTTCATCAACGAGCAGAACTCGGAGCTGGAGCGGCTGCAGGAGGAGATCAAGGAGGTGAGCGAGACCCGCGCGCTGCCCCCCGCTCCTCGCTCCCCGCCCCCCCCGCCGCCTCTCCCCGCGTCGGCCCCCCCCCGGAGCTGGGCCCAGCGTTCCGCCCTGCCGCGCCCCGCAGATGCAGGAGGCCATGGCGAGCGCGCGCGCCGGCGAGGAAACGCGGCGCTCGCTGCAGGAGCGGCAGCGGGCGGAGTTGCAGCGGCGCGTGGACGAGGTGCACGCGGAGGCAGAGAAGCTGGAGGCGCGCTTCCGGGACTTTCGGAGGCAGCTGGAGAAGCTCAAGGCCGGTGAGCCCCCGTCCCACTTCCTCATCTGGGAGGATGCGATGAGCACGCGGAGGGCCCAGCCCCGGGCTGGCCGCTTGGAGGCATTCCATGGATGAATTTGTGCACTCGCTTCGTCAGTCCATCCCATATCTATCCGTCCATCATCCATCCACCCATCCATCCACCCATCCATCCATCCAGTATTTATCCATTCATCCATCCAGCAACCCAACTGTCCATCCATCCATCCATCCATCCAGTATTTATCCATTCATCTTCCATCAATCCAACTGTCCCATATCCATTGTCCATCCAGTCTCCATCCATCATCCACCCATCCACCCACCCATCCATCCACTCATCCATCCTCCATTCATCCTTCCAGTGCAGAGCGCTCAAGAGTCAGGCCGTTCTGGGTTTGAATCCCAGCTCCACCACTGGTGAACCTTGGTGTGCGGTTTCCTCTATCTGAGCCCCTCTGGAAACAGGATGGCAGTGCCTACTTCGTAGGGTTGTCCTGAGATTAGGTGGGATGACGGACCGACAGCTAGAGGTGGAGAGAGACGGGGGTGGAGATGGGAAGCAAGCCAGAGAGCCACCTGGGGGTGCACAGTAGAAGCTGAATGACTGGCAGATCCTGCTTCCCTCCGTTGCTGTGACCGCTGTGCCAAGCCCTGTGCTGGGTGATGACGACCCCGGGGCAGACTGACACGAGTGCTGGGTGCTCCTAACCCCGGGGCGAGGATGGAGGACACCCAGTGCACTGCAGGAGCCAGAGGAGCTCCTAACTCAGATGGAACACAGGACCAGAATTTGTGGGGCCCAGTGCAAAACGAAAATGCGGGGACCTTTGTTAAAAAATTGTCAAGAATTTCAAGGAGGCAACAGCAGAGCATCAGACCAAATGGGGGCCTTCTGAGCACAGGACCGTGTGCCACCGTGCAGGTTGCACACCCATGGAACAGGCTCTGCTGGGGGCCGGGAAGGGCTTCCTGGAAGTGTAATGCTTGAGGCTGATTTTGAAGGATGAGTATTTAACTGACAAAACTGGGGAGGAGAGATGCTCCCAGCAGGTGGCGCCAAGGCCTGGAGGTGCATTCAGGGGATGTAGGTTCTCTGTGCAGAGAGGGGAAGGCAGGGCTGTGGGTGGGACTTGAAGAGGGCCAGACCCTGAAGGGATGCCAGGCTGGGGCACTGGGGCATTTTCCTGGGGAACCATGGGAGGGTTGTGAGCAGGAGAGGGTGGTGCATAGGGAGGTTAGGGGGCGAAGATGGAGAGGGGCGGATGGAGCACAGAGGTATGGGACTGATGGCCTATGGGGGGAGGGGGGAGATGCACTGGGTCTGGCCTGGTGAGGGTGAGGCCCCTCCCTGAGATGGGAACAGAAGGAGTGGGTTTGGGGAATGACCTTGAGCTCAGTGTGAGCGGTCTGGCGGATGTTCAGGGAGGGCCCCCAGGAGGAAGCTGTATATGACCCTGGGGCGCAGTTGGAGGAGGCACGGGGACGGGAGGTGGGGATGCCATCTGGCTGGGTGCAGACTTTCGTCAAGGTCATGGGTGCCTTCTTAGTTCATTAACAACAACCAGTTAACTAAAGAAACACAAGCGGGCCACGCACGCACGGGCCAGTTGTGAGAGTGGGCCGTGACAGTGAGTAGCAGGTCAACCAAGGACCATGATTAATCCAGTCGTGTGCAACTGGGGTCCAACATTAAAAAACACAAGGAAAGCAGCCTGGACGCTGCCGTGGGTTTCCTGCCACCTCTCCCGTGGAGCACGCGTGTGAGCGTTTCTCGGGGAGAGATCCCGAGCTGAGGAACGGCTGGGTTGGATGGAAGGTGGGTGTTCCTGAGCTGTGTGGAGAGGTCTTTCAGTGTGGAGGTGCCTGTCTCAGGTTTTCCTTTGATCTCCCTCCCTTCTTGCCTTCTGTGGCTCCGAGTCCCGTGCTAGGCACACACCGCGCCCTCCCACTGCCTGGCTGGCTGAGCTCGGGCAAGTCCCTTTCCACCTCCGAGCCCTGCTTGCTGCCTCCATAGAATGGGGCAGTGGGGACTGGAGGAGGGGAGAAGGCTGGCACCCAGCGGGCACCGGCTCCGTGACGGCCTGTCCCTCTGACCCCAGACATCCAGCAGCTCTTCACCCGGGCCCAGTGTGACAGCACCGCCATCAACGACCTCCTGGGGGTCAAGACCTACATGCGAGACCGGGACATCGGCCTCTTCCTGGGCCTCATCGAGAAGCGGCTGGTGGAGCTCCTGACGGTGCAGGCCTTTGTAGATGCCCAGGTGAGGATGCAGGGGCCGTGGAGGGCACAGGGAGCTGGAGCTTGGAGGCCAGGGCCTGGGGAACGGGCCTGAGCGGACCCCTGGCTTCCTGTCCCCCCCCAGAGCTACACCTCCTCCGGCTTAGCGAACGCAGCCCTCCTGGTGCTGGGCCAGAGCCCTGAGGATCTCCTGAAGAAGATGGCCACACCTCAGCTCCCTGACAATCTGTGAGGCACGGGCCAGAGGGAGGGGAGGGGAAGGCGACGCCATGGGGGCAGGGGGTAGAAATGGGATGGAGGGTTTTGGGGGGCTCTTTGGGACCAGAGGGCTCTGGGCAGGAGTAGAACATGGAGTGGGTGCTTTGGGGGAACCAGGAGTCGGGGCTCCAGGGGACAGTATAGGACTCTGGGGCTCTGGTATGTCTGAAGGGGAAAGGGCACTCAGGGCTGGCCAGAGCATGGCTGAGGGGTCTGGTGTGGCAATGAGGAGCCATCGGCCTTTTGTGGGTTGCGACTGTACTCCCTTCCTGTCTTCCCCCCACTTGAGGGAGGACCCCCCAGGTTTTGAGACCAAAGACGACTATCCCATGAGCAGGGAGGAGCTGCTGAGCCAGGTGGTGAAGTCGGTGAGGATGGGGGCCTGCCGGGGTGGGGGAGGACCTCAGCCCTCCTCTGGGACCCTAACCCGCCTCCCCCACAGCTGGAGGTCCGGGAGCAGGCACGGGAGCAGCACCTGAAGGAGCTGGCCGAGGCTGCGAGGAAGGCCGAGCGGGTCCCGAGCATAAGCCTCCCCAGCCCCCAGAAGGCCAGCTTAGGCACACCCCACAGTAATGTCCCCGGCTCCATCTTGAGCCACAGGACTAGCGGCATCCTGGTGTCCAGTGGCGGCCGTGCCACCAGCTCCAGTGTCGGCCACGTCACCTTTGGCTCCACCAGCGCCAATGGGGCACCAACGTCCAGCCGGGGCTCGACTCCGGGCCGAGTGACCTTCAGACCCCTCAGCTCTAGTGGCTACCTGGGGTCCACTGGGTACTTGGGGTCCAGCAGAGGCCACGAAAGCTTTGGTGACGTGGAGAGCAGAGTCCCTGGGTCAGAATCGAGCGGAGGCCTCGAGTCCAGCAGAGGCCAAGTCTCGAGCACTGGCCCTGCCTCCAGCACTGGCCCGGACTCCACCGCCGGCAAAGACTCCCAGAACGACAACTAGGGGCACCTGGTCCCCAGCCCGCCCCTGGCTCCTGGCGGGGCCTTGTCTGTGTCTCTGCCTCCTGACTTTCCCTTTGACCATCCATCTTTCTATCCAGTTCCAAGCCTCTGTGCCTCTTTGCCCCCAGCTCTGTCCCCACCTCCCCTTCCTCGTGCCCCTGTATCTCTCTCCATCTGCGCTTCATCATCTCCTCATCTCTGTCTCCTCGTCCCTTTCTCTCTGTTTCCGACCCTCCTTTCCCTTTCTGTCTCCCAATCTCCTGTTCTCGTGGTTTCCCATTCTGTGTGTCTGTCTTGTCACCACGTCTGTCTCCCCATCTCTGCTCTAAGCTCTCTGCTTGTCCGCCCCCACCCCATCCTGTTTCTGCTTCTCCATTTCGAATTCCCCCTCCGCATTTCCACCTCCCAGCCTCTCCTTGTATCTCACGTCCCTGTACCCCTTCATTCTTTACGCTCCCCAAGAGCCCCCAGTACTGACCAGTGGAAGGAGAATCGGGGCAAGATGTCAGGGTCAGCGTGAGCTGTGACCTTAGGAAATAAAGGTCAGAGCTGACTTTTACCCCAGCCTGGTTACCCGTGCGTATGTGAGAAAACAAGCTGTTTCCTCTACCTCCAGCCCCGGGGGAAACATTTATGACCCTGTCCCTGTTCATTGCCATTCATTCATTCATTCCTTTAAGCCCTCCACATTTCAGGCCCTACTGAGAACTGGGAACTGTATCAGTCAGGATAGGCTGAGTTATGCTGCAGTAACAAACAACCCCAGAATCTCAGTGGCGTCACGCAACAAAGGTTTAAGTTACTCGCCAATGTTATTGGTCTATTGTGGGTCTCCTCAGGGCTCTGCTGCACATCATCCTTGTGACCCCGGCCGAGGGAACGGCACCTGTCTGGAGTGTTGCCAATCTCTCTGGCGCTGGTAAGAAGAGAAGATAGGAAAGGTGCAATGAATCTTAAAGCTTCTACCTGGAAACAATACATATCACTTCCACTCGCGTTTATTGACCAAAGCAGGTCATTTGACCAGGCCTAACTTCAAAGGAGGTGGGAAGTACCATCTTCCCCTGTGCCTGGAAGGAGGGAGGGACATGTGTATTTTTTGATGGCCCAATGCTTGCCATATGGTCCCAGAGATAAAGCAGGCTCTGTCCCTTTCCTGCTGTGTTTGGGAATGAGAGGGATTAGAACACCACGGATGACTCTCTCCTGCCGTTGAGTCATGCCAAAGCCCTGTCAAAATTTAATCCAGCCACATCCAAACAGATAAGTCATCATCCACCTTCCAAATCCAGGAAGGTAATACTCTGGGCCTCGTTCCCCTTAAAATGGGTTATAACAGTACACACGTCAAAGTTTTTTTTTTTTTTTTTTGTGAGAATAAAATTAACTGATATACCTAAAGCCTTAGAACAGTCGCTGGCATGTAGTAAGTGCTCAAAAATATCTGTGATTATGAGTATGATGACGGTGAAGATGAAAATTAATGTGTTTCTCGCCTGTTCGGATAATCCAGTCTTCCTCTCCCCTCATCTTTCCCTACAATTGGTGAGGCCTACCTGGTGGTAAATGTTTAACAACTGGCTCTTCAGGAAAAAAAAAAACATCCTGACTTGTGCTTGCCCATCTCTGTGGTGTGAATACTCTCCCCCACCACGGCTGGTTTCAATCTAGCCGTGTGAACCTAACGTGGAATGGGGTAGGGACGCGCGATGGGTCCATGTGAGTGGGTAGGAGCTGCCCTGGCACGCCACTGGGCCCACCCTCATCCTGTGCCTTATCCCGGGGAATCGTCCCTCCCCAGACCCTCTCCTCCCTGTAACCCCCACAAGAACCGCCCCCAGCAAACCGAAACGCACCTGCCTTAAACGTTCCAGAGAATGCAAAACCTTTTTAAAAGTGAAGTTGCCTTAAAATATTAACAGCAAAAAAGGCCCCGTTTCCAATGTACAAAGCTAACGCCTCAACAATTTTAAACGTTAAACACGAACGAGAACAGAAAGAGTGTCCTGCCTGGTGCCAGTACAGAATCCTGATCTAAAGCGTAGGCGCTGTAAGCAGCAGATGGAGAGTCCCGAGGTTAACCAGGATGTGCTCTTGTTGGTCCCACAGACCCCAAATGGACTAGCTGGATCTTACCTCCTGGGACCCAACCAAAGGTGCATATGCTGTGATTGCAGCCTTCCAGAACTTTCTCTCAAGTGGGATGTCATGACCTCTGACCTCCAGGAAGTCCACCAGGTCCTTCTTAAATGGACAGTACTTGACCACACTGGCTTGACCCTTTAAGAGAATAAATCTAAAGATGGGGATAAAAATATACTAATGCAGGAAAACCCCATTTTTGCTCCTTTGCTAGAACACAGAGGTTTTGAGGAACTTTTTGCTGCAAAAGCTTGTCTTGGGCGTGGGTCCTGGAAGAGAAGGTGTGATTTCACGCATTTTGTGGAGGCTCTAGCTGCCCTCAACGTGGGCTGGGAGTTGGGGAGTAAGGATGGGAAGCATCAGAGTTTGGCATATTTGTCCAGAAATACGCTCATCAATGTCGGCTTCAGCCTGGCGTCTGGAAACAAGAATCCCCCAGTGTGCATTTCAGTGTCATATCCCTGAACTCATGAGTGACCAACCATGTTGCAATCACACAGACAACTGTCAGATACACGTAGCCTAACAGTGTCCATTATAGGAGCACAACATTTTAGCCGGACTTCTTGTTAACTTTTGTGCACACACTTTCCAACATAGGTAACTTGGAGTGACAGATGGCATGTTCCTTACATGGTGAAATTCTATCAGCCAACTGAAGTGTAAATGTATAGTTTCATTGCAAGAATAAGATGCTGCAATCATTCTTTTATTGTTAAAGTGATTAATTTTAGGTACGAAACAATGAAGAAAGCCCTAATAGTTGCATGAACATTTGAACCTCAAGGGAGTATGTTTGCTAGACAACTTTAGGAAGAATATCATTTCCTTTTTGAATCAACAAATGTCTACAAAAACCCAAATAAGAATACGAAGTGGAATAACACAAATTAGGTTCTCTCCTAATTCTAATCTTTATGGAATTTTGGTGTACCTTTAAGACTTTACAGAAAATTTCTATTTTGGAATTCTTCACATCTCAAGAGGGAAGATTGAAAGCAGCATGTCAACCTTGCTACTTCAAAATTGCACAAGAAACAAAAACTCCAAATTGCCCACCACATCTTTCATTAATTAGCTTTCGTCAAGACATAATACAGAATATAAATAGTAGGGCGACAGGGAGAAGCTATTAAAGAAAAACAAGGGACCCTGAACACATTTTATTCTCACGAATCCGGTTCAACATGCAGACTTGATAAGAAGCTTCAAAACTGGACCTACCGTGGAGGTAACTCTCCCTCGTGCGTGTGTTTGGGCAGCCAGCAGGGGTCGCCACCTTCAACTCTCCGCCATCCTGAAGTTCAGGCATCTGTGGTCCTGGAACCATTTGTTAATTTAACTCAGCCATGGGCTTGCTAGATTAGTTTGTAAAATAATTAATGCATCAGAGTCATGGGATTTAATTTCCCATCATGCATATGGGAAAAGAGGAAAGGGCTATTGATCTTCTGCTCTGATGAGAAAGCTTACCTGTATTTATAGAGTTTACACGCAGCATGTCATCCTCAGGGCAGCAAATGATCAATGACGACAACCCATCAGGGCAAAAACCTTCTTATGGTGGGAATTAGTCACTGGACATAACCACAATTTCTATAGTTTTGGGCATGTTAGGAAACACTTTTGTTGAAGTCGCCTCTGAGCCATATTTATTAATAGGGAATAGGACAAGTTGGAGCCAGTTATTAATTTTCACAATCTCTCTAGTGCACAAGACAAAATTAATATTTTTGCAAAAGTTCCCCCTTCACACCTTATCTGATCAGATCCTTTGAATTAACTTTATGATGCAGACCCTATCTCTTTGCTTACAGTTGCAGTGGAGAGGGGCATCTCATCCCTTTTCTCATTAATCTGACAAATATTTATTGAGTATGTACTATGTGCCACGCCTTGTACCAGGTTCTGGGGACAGAACAGTGAACAAAACACTGAAAAACTGGTATTTCAGGAAGGAGCTGGAAATGGTGGCTCCCCTGTGTTGTGGCTTCTGGAAGTGAAGCTGCCATTCCTGCTGTCTCTCTTGGGACCTGGTGTGGGGCAGTCAGGGCCACTAGCCCTATCTACGTCCAGAGGGACTTTCTCTTCCTTCTCTCCGAAGACAGGAAGGTGAGCACAGTGGACCCAGGTCCTCAGATCTCCCTCTCCCCAAAGTGGTCTCACAAGCCACGGCAGTAGGAGGGATTCACGTTAACCCCAACGCTCAGACACCTCAAGGGTCCTAGACCTACAATGAACAGACCCTCCCCTACCTTCCCATAGTCCAGGACCTGGGCTTGCCATCTATAGACGGTCAACCGGGTGGCAGCCAGCACAGAATACATCTGAGGCCGCTTACAGAGAAGCCAGAGAATCAAACCCAGAATCCTCTTGGTTCCCAAGCAAGCCAGCACTTCCCTCACTGTCATAGCCATGTCCCCTTCAGCCCAGGGTGGAGAGAGGGGTGGAGAAGGCAGGCTTGCTGGACCAAGGCTGTAGCTAGGAGACAAAAAGAATGGCTTCCTGACACCTGCTTTGAGGTGGGGGTGACTTCTGCGGTGGTGAGGGTGTTGGTGATGGTGGTGATGTTGGTGACTGTTGATGATGGTGATACTGGTGGTGACATTGGTGTTGGTGGTATTGGTGTGGTGCTGGTGATGGCCATAGTGGGGATGGTGAGGATGATGGTGAAGGTGGTGACTTTGATGACAGTGGTGGTGATGGTGATGCTGGTGGTGAGAGAAGGGGATGTGGCGATGGTGATGATGCTGGTGGTGCTGATGATGGTGTTGGTGACAGTGTTGTTGGTGATGGTGATGCTCCTGGTGCCATTGGTTGTCACCTCAACATAGACTCTGCTGCCAACTCAGATTCATCTTGTTACATATGAAAAGTTGCATTTTTAAGCCTGAGCTCTGGAATGTCATTAATTTACATTATACAGTATCA